TTGCATTTCTCTCCTCATTATTTTGTAATGAAGGAAGGATAAATGAATGGAAATAATCGTGATAAATTTGACAACGGCGGGCTTGTCTGCTCCAGTGACGTTCAGTCTCGTTTAATCAGAGGGAGCATAACGCTGCTCTGCAACCCTATGGCTTCGGCTCCCAATTTGCGTGGATATTGCCACATCTTAAAGTCAAATCTTTATATCCTTCCCAGCTGTAAACCAGCAATAATTTCAGTTGTGCCCAAGAAAACTACAGTGCCTGCAATTTTTCGGTATGCAACAGGCAACAAGAACTCGCCGAGAACAGCATTATTTGCATTTTAATTTAGCCATTGAAAAAGCCGGAGGCCCCTAATTTTAAGCGTTCAGCCGGTACGGAGCACTTTTTTGTTTCAACCTAACCTTAAAATTCTAAGGTTATGCGTTCAAATGGCGCGTCAGCTAAACAACAAGATGGCGGAGAGGAGCCTAACATATTTGGAATAGATTAATCTGCGATACCTTTATTTAAGGCTTTGAATGTCGAATCGCGGATGACGATAATCGTTTTTCTATATTATATAATTTTAGCGTTAGTGCATTTTTCTCAAAATTGACAAGGTTTAGAAAGCTCTGGAAAAAAAAACACATTGGATCTAGAGTCCAGACTCTTGAAAACATTGACAAGAAAAAATACTCTTGATTCAATCGGATTTAAGCTTGAATCAAAAGGAAATCCGCTCAAATGAAGAGGCTTGGTTCTTGATTTAAGCTCAATACTGATTGAATCAAGAGTATTTTTTCTTGTCGATGTTTTTAAGAGTCTGGAATCTGGATCCAATGTGTTTTTTTTCCAGTGAGGGTCTAAACCAGAAATTAATTTCACATGCATTTTCTTCGAAATCTTACATAGGAGACGAATGATACAATGGGCATTCCGGAAATCAACTCTTGAACGAGGTTTTGTATACTGGAATAGTTTTAACACGGATCAAATGGAAGTTCGATTACACAAATGACGTCACTTGTATTTTTGCCTGTTTAGCTAACCGGGAAACCGCCTTTTGAGCCATGTTAATCGTAAACACTTATATCCCGTTCAAGAGTTGACTTTTAGAGTTCCCGGTGCGTGATTAATTTTTGTTGTGAAATTTTGAAGGGAAAACATATTGCGCAGTGTTTTAGTGTGTAATTCATGCCATGTCTAGAGCCCCATCGAAATTTTGGTGAGCGAGTTTTTTCATCTCATCGGTGGTCATTCCCTTCGGGGAACTTAAAAACACGCCCTCATAAAAAGCTGAACGGTTCGTTATACACTGGAAAAAGACTCATCGGATCTAGAGTCCAGACTCTTGAAAACATTGACTAGAAAAAGGACTCTTGACTCAGTCAGATTTAAGCTTAAATCCAAATGAAATCCGCTCAAATTAAGAGGTTTGGTTCTTGATTTAAGCTTAAATCTGATTGAGTCAAGAGTATTTTTTCTTGTCGATGTTTTTAAGAGTCTGGACTCTCTAATGCGTTTTTTTTTTCCAGTGTACGGACACATTAGAGCTTTCCCGCTTGTTTTTGATCTGAACCCGAGAGAGTCTGGCATCATCGGGAATAATGAAGCTCTCCCGTCCTTCCCTGAATATATTTCATGCGATGTGCATACTCCAAACCCTGGTTCCTCGCCTCCCTATGATCGAAATCACTCAGCTTAAGGGCGTAATATCATATACAACACGTGAGCAACATGATCGGATTGCATCCTCTCCATGTTGCCATAAGCCGTCGAAGCACCCGCTAACTTTAAAGACGATCCATTTATTTATTTTGTTTCTGCGAGATGATAGTCCTTTCTCAACTTACTCCCGAAGTTCCTCTTGGTCGTTACGTGCACTTCTATTTGTTCGACAGAGTTTGAATTGTACGTATTTCTATCAAACGGAACAATGTGCATTAAGACATGATCCCTGAGACCCATACGAATACATGCATAACAGGGCTCACGTATAACGCACATAGTTCCGTTTGGCAGAAATACGTCCATTTGGATCATAACAAAGTAAAAGACAAATCACGTATCTCGCTGTGACGCTGTAAGTTGCGTGATATCATTCTCTTTTCGTGCTTTCTGACCCCTTAAATTTTCTTTTGTCGCAGTTCGTTCTATCGTTCTACAGGGCCAATCTCTATAAAAAATTTGTTGGCGTTTGACGTGTGATAGTCTCTAAATGAGTCCGCTTTATTCCGATTTTGGGACCGTGACCTAGCTTTTTTTATATAACGTGATAAAGTTGTGAATATTTCCACTGAAACAGTGTAGATGTCCATTTTTTGTCACAGTCTGTTATAAAGATCAACCGAGCCGATTGTCATACTTTTTGCGGCTATTGATAGGAAGGAGTACCTAAATGAGCCTGCCATACTTAGATTAACTTACATGGTCCTGCGAAGCGGGTTCATAGAGGGCGCGAAGCGGCTATTAGGGGTTAGGGCTGCGTAGTAGCCAGGGGGTGTGCCCCATAGTGAGCATATATTGAGCACGAACGGTTGCGTTTAGGTGCTATGACAAACGATGAGCTTCTCGGCTACCGGTTGCAGAAGCTAAGGACGGTGCGTGACGATTCGCCGCGCCGTAACAAAAACGCCTTCAATTAATCGTATATGCAATATGGACATCCATCAAGTACGTATAGTTGTATCAAGGCGTTTTTTGCAGTGCCGCGAATCCCCGTCGTCTGACACTCGGAGAACCGGACGTATTCAACCAGAATCAGCCCGAGTACACCCGACATTGCCTAATTTCCTCCCATGTTTGATTTTTTTAAGACTGAGCAACTCTCCGACTTAAAATTTAATCAGTATATAGTCATTATAATTGAAGAAAAATTCACGTAAAGTTTCAATGCATCAAGTACTTTGGTTCTCTGTTAAAAAAATAAAAGATGAGAGGAAATCAGGTGATCTGAAGTTTATTCACACTAATTTTGGTTAAATCTGTGCAACTAATGCCGCCAACACCAGGTTAAAAATTGCTGGATCTCCTCCTTTCGCGAGATTGTTAATTAATGAATCATAAGTATTTGATCTTGTAATTTTGAATTTTTCGTTGAATTGATAGTATTATTTTCTCTTTTATCTGCTTATTTTCTGTTACAGAGGTTTTAATGTAGTAATAATTATCAGCTGCTGGTTTAAATGCTAAGTAGTTTAATTTCTTTAAAATCTCTCTTCACTTGGTTCCTTTTATTTTTCGTTTATCGTTCAACATGGCGGTGACCAGAATAATATCTTCAGACTGACCAAGTATTAATTCTCTCAAAAATCTTCTCTAAAATCATGTATGAAGACGCCATGTCTAAACAACAAGGGTTTCGTGATTCGATCGTTTTTTTTTCTAAAACGGTTTGTTCATCGCCTTTGTCCGCTGATAAATCTTTCTTTTCTCGTGGAGTGTCAGCGTATAATTAAGTCGTGATTGTCGAAGCGTTTTCTCGGAGAAGAATTCGGAAAAGCTGTTGGCTTCGAGTGTTGGTTCCAGGAAAATCTCGTCACTTGGGGAGTGTTTCCTGGAATTTTATCAAGAGTTGGAGACAGTGATCGGGTCCTCGGTTTACTTCACGAGAAAAGTCTCACCGGATCCGTTTACACTCTGAATAATTGCAGTAGCGTGGCGTGCTTTGCGATATATCGATTGTTCTGCCATTTAAGCCTATGGTAAAGAATCGATTATTAAGGTGTTCACCCGACACCCTGATTATCGATCCTTTTCCATAGGTTTAAATAACATAACGATCGATCCATCGCAAAGCACGCCACGCCACTGAATAATTGTGATGGAAAATCGGTCGATGTTTTCTTTTCATTCCGTGTTTTTTTTTCCAAAGCCAGTTACACTTTTAAATCTTTAATGTTATAAAAACAAAACGAAAAAATTGCCGAGCTCAATGAATCGACGGAAGATCTCCCAGTTTTACGATCTCTAGCCATTGTGAGAATCTGCAATTTCATCGATCAGCGAATTGCGAAAAAAACTGAATCGCTGATTTTAGTCGAGGTAAAACTTTCAATAAAAGCTGCGGTTTTATGTCAAGGTCGCGGAAATATTCGACCGTGATAAGTATGAACGCAGTATGAACAACCGGATGTTACCAAATTTACTGTCAAAAAATACTTATTTTGTTAAGAGGAAAGTTGTGAATATTTATCATTGAAATTCACGAAACAAAATTTTTCTAAAAAATTAGGGATTAAATACTTACAAATTTTCCCCAAAATTTGTGTTTTATTAAAAAAAAACTTTAGCAGCGTTTGAAAGATCCTATAGAATATTTCTCCAGTAAGGCAGTATTAGTATTGCGTTACGCTTTTTTTCAGATTTTTTTTCTCTCATATCCATTTCCATATTATGCGTAGATATCAAAAGCTCAGAAACGCGATAGTGTTAGTGTCTAGTGGCGTAGTGTTCGATGCTTCTTAGACGCTATTAGTTTTGAAGTTACCGTAGCGATCCTTTTTTACATAATTCGATGGTTTCAATCAGCGAATTGATTGTTTAATCGTTATCAATGGTTAAAATACAATTTAAAACTCATTAGTCAGAGAAAAATTTTTCTCCGACTAGTGAGTCTTAAATTTTATTTTAACCGTTGACCTAGTCTGCTACTTTTTAAAATATTTGGTTGTTATCAATGGCTTTGATCGATAAATCCATAGCTTAGGAATGCAAGAACAAGCTGCGTGCTTTCATATAACGTAGTATGCAGTACTCACGTCACCCGACTTTAAATAGTCCATGCGTTATGATAAGAGCTTTTTAGTTTCAATGTAAAGGCACACCTTTTGTATTATTGAATTACTTCACTCGTGAGGTTCCTTTACGCTTGTACTACTCCCGAACAACGGCCTATTTTCAATTCGACGATTCATTTGTCTATAGGACCATAGTGTATCCGTTGCAGTGTAATTTATATGTATGAATCTGTAAAAATTGTACAGGTAGTAACGTATGTTGTAATATATTGTGACAGGCCACCAGAACGAAGCACAAGTTCAAAGTTCACACTTACGGGTCTCCAACTTTCTGTGATCACTGCGGCTCCCTCCTGTACGGTATCATTCATCAAGGACTCAAGTGCGAAGGTCTCTCGTCTAATTTGCCTTTTTGTCGTTGTGTGTGTCCCTCACTGTTTGACTATTCCCCTAACAACTATATTCTTCCACTCAACTATCTTTGTCCTTTACTCTTCTCTCTCTTTCCCCCCTCTCCCGCTGTTCTGTGGGACCATTCCTTTTTTGGGTTAGCGTACTGAGGAGAAAAAACTTTAACGGATTTTCTGGTTTTCCCTGTTCGTGTGCCCGGGAAAGTGTTAGACTTTAGTTTGACAGCTAAAGCGCTCTTTGTGGATTAGTCTTGTGGAAACTTAAAGCCTAAAATCAGAAGCACTCATAATCCCTTCTTTTCACTTTTTCGCCCTTATTCTGTTCCCTCTCTGTCTTCTTCCTTTTCGCTGTCCCCCTCTTTTGACCAGTTCTCTATGTTTACATCACCACTCTTTTCATCTTTTTTAATAGCATTGTTGTTACTCACCGTTTATCGTTCGTTTGTCGTTTCGTAGATGTTTGATGTGAATGAAAGACGAGATTTGTGTGGCATGAGGGCATCTCGTACGTAAAGTCGCTTCATTTTTAACGCATCTGCGTTTCTATGAAGTATCTAGTAACAACCAGCGTTAGCTGATTTCATTCAAAAGAATGAATAGAGAAACGACTTGATGTAGTAATGACAGGCGTGAAAAATAGCTGAGGCGATTCAGGGCTTTTAGGAAATATTTAAGAAATCAATTCTATGGATGAAAAATGTATTCTGAAACATATATTTATCCATAACCACTTCTATTCGGATATGAAGTCCTCCAAAATTTTAAGAGATAAACACTTCTGTTTACCTTTGTTTTCTTCTTTTAAAATATCGTAGTGAAGTTTACGTACAAAAGCAGCCAAACATTGGCTTCTGGGAAAATCATTGAGCATTTCACTACTTTTCAGCACATATGAAGATCAAAAGTCATTTCGTTTAATAATTCAGGGGAGGTCATCCATTTTACAGAAATATGTCCCTCTACAAATCCAATATTTCTGAAAATCCTCCGATGATAGGAGTATCTCCCTATTTTTTTTTTTTTTTTACAATTAATGCGTGAAATAAAATAAATATGGCCACCCATGGATCTCAATTCTCATAATTTGACTCATGACTGCTACTGCACTGTGAAAGAGTACATACTTAGTTCAAAGGGGAGTTAATAATAATCAGTTTTGGAAAAAATGTTGTGCCAAAAAAATAATCTCTGCTTAACTCTCCATCAACTTCTGAAATATCTTCACAAAATCTTGAATCACTCGGTGGAAAGAAATTCGCCCTAGCTTAATACTGACCTGATAGATTGTGAGCAACTTTCCGGATCGAATAATCGTCAATGCATCTTTGAAAGTTCGCTGTAGAGAACTTTCTTTTAAACGCCGCTCTATCACAAATCTTGCCTGGATTTTCATCCACCGTCGATTGTTTTCGATGATTTTTGTCGGCCAGTTTGTAGAATCGCATCTTGGTGTGTGCGTTTTTGGATGGTTTTCAGTTAAGGTAGTCGGTTTTCACGTTTTCCAGTAGCCTGTGTCACACTATCAAAATACTCCATCAAAATGTCAAGTCATGCGCTGTGATTGGTCCAAGTCATCGAATAAGCCAATCACAACACCCGACCCTCATATTTTGATGGCTACCTTTGATAGTGTGACACAGGCTATTCACTAATAATTTATTTTTAATCCGTCGTGAGAAATCAAAGTGCCTCTTGGATACTAGCACATTAGTTGACGTTGGTGAAAATATTTCTTTTCTAAGAATATACTGTGAGGGTGATTTATTTAGACCCACTTTTCCCCTGAATTCCCCTCGTTTAAAAGGTAAAGATCAGATTCTTTACAGTTTTAGTCGTCCTTGAATTTTTAGGAACTCCCATACGTTAATCCGCATCTTTGGATAACCTTTGCAATTTTTAGCGATAGCTCTAGGATATCGTAATCTTACGGTGTATTGATGGGAACCGCATACACTAAGAACCTCTTAAAATCACTGAGACTTCTTAAGTGACAAGTTTTATTTTTCAGCCGCTGCAAATACACGTCTCGCAGCACGAATAATTTCAGCATTAGATTTCTGTTGTTTTTCGTTTATTATATCTTTTTTCACAGCGTATTCACTTGTCAGAGCATGCGAAATTATGTTGTAGGTACTGCTTCTGTGTGCGTTTGTTGCGAATTGGACAATGTTTTGCGTTTCAATTGATGTTAGTTGTTCAATCATCGACTTTTTTTTCTATCGTCGATCCAAAACTAGCGAAAAATTCAACCTTTCATTAGTAATGAGCGTGCGATTTTATTTATAAAACGAACGCATAGTGTAAAGAGCTCTTGCTCTCTTAACTAAGTAACTTTTTCGTTCAAAATCTACTATTTCAAACAGGTTACATTAAATAGTTAATCTGATTTGATCAAACAATATCAACATTATGTATATATTTGAATAAGTGGGATCATTGGCTACCATGGCTGTGATAGATGTGTAGGAATTGATCGACACGCAGGTATGTTTACAAGATGACTGTGGATGGTTATAAAACATCGGAGGAAATTTCAAAGCATGGTGCTGATTTATTTTTCGTCTAAAAACACAGGCGGATCCAGACACCTCGAACGAGAGGGCGTAAGAGAAAATTGTTGGAATTTGAAAGCATCGTATATGCAATTTGAGTTAATCTCGTCATGGATAATTACCAAACACAAGCGTCATTCCCTCTTCATTCCTCGGTTCCTTCCTCTTTCCTCCGTTCCTTCTCTCCATCCTTCATCCCTTCCTCTTCCTCTTTTTTCGGGCGAAGGGGGGGGGGCAGCCCTTTCCCTCCCCTGGATCCGCATATGTGTAAAAAATAAAGTTCTTAAGGCTGAGTTTAGAAGAATTGAGTTCTGGAGAGTTACTTTGGAGTATTGTTGCCAGATTGTGCTGTAAAATCAGCACCTTCCTCCATTTATACTCATTTTAAATTCCTCAATTTAATGGCACAACCTGGCAACGTTGATGGATCTAAGTTATCGCAGTGTCCATCCGTGAGTTTCCATCGCGGCGACCAAAGTAAAAAAGAAAACCCTACTGCCTCTGATACTCTTGCTATATACTGTTTCTGTCGATAGCTCTCATTTTTCTACACTTAGAAGCCGAAGATACGATCCTAATCGGCAATTTAACCCGCCCGCAATGTCCTCTTGCAACCACGAAGCCAACATATTCGTTCCTCGTAACCGATGAAACCAGCAGTTAATAAAGCAAAACTCGCATGCCAGAGAATCCAAATTGCTTCCATACTGCCGTGCTAAGGAAAAACGCCGTATGAGCCATCAAGCGTTGCCAAATTTCCTCTGGTGGATCAAAAATTCTCGGGAAAATTTGTAAGTATTTTCCCCCCCAATTTTTCACACAATTTTGTTCGCAATTTCACCTAAATTTCCTGAAAATTTCAAGGAAAACTATTCGTAGCTTTCCTCAAAAATAAACACTTTATCGAAGGAGTTTTGGCAACCCTCGAGTGTTCGTACGGCGTTTTTCCTTAGTACGGCAGCATACTAAACCGAACACATTTTCCTCTAAAGCGAGGGAGAGGGAGGCTGATGCATTCATTTTTTTTTTTTTTTTTTTTTTTTTTTTTTTTTTTTTTTTTTTTTTTTTTTTTGCTGCTGGTCTCAGAATGAAAAACTGAACCGTGTGTGATGCGATAACGCCCCCACTGCCGTGCTAAGCAAAAACGCCGTATGAACTTTCAGACGTTGCAATATTTCCTTCGATAAAACCCGAATTTACTGGGACAAGTGTAAATATTTTCCTTCAAATTTGTCAGACGATTTTGTTGGCAATGTAGTCTAAAATATCTGAAAATTTAAAGGGAAAAATGTGCAACTTTCCACGATTATGCATGTTTTGTCCCGAGAAATTTGGCAACTCTCGATGTTCATACGGTGCTTTTCCTTAGCACGGCAGAACTGTGCATTTCCTTCTTCCTTTGCCGAGGCTTTGTGGAATCCTTTCTGCGTTGAATCTCTGTGCTGCCACTTATTCGGAATAACCTGCCTACTTTTTCTGTAAAAATGATAAGTTATAAACGAGTTCGCCAAAAGTGAAGTTAATTAGGAGCAGCGGATTGTTTTTGCCGAAGTTGTTTTCTCCAATCAAAGGAGTCAACTTCGATAAAAACGTGTTTTCACTTCAGCAACTATTTTAACTCCACAGTCGTGAAATCGCCTATTCAATCCTTTGAAGGCAATTTATAATATGTGAAAGAGAAGGTCATATAATGTGAGGAAATTTCAAAGTTTTTCTGTTTTATCAGCAGCTCAATTTTTGCGATTTATCCGTTTTAGCCATTCCATCCCTGGTAAAAATTGGCGATAAGAACTACGTTTCAAAATACCGTAGGAATTCTCATAGCCGGCTAAAGAAGGCTACAGAAAATCATATAGCTGGCTGTAGAATGCGGAGAAAATCATTTGGCCGAACTATACGAAGCGATAAAAAATTATGCGATAGTTCCTATCGCCTGGCTTTACGCTTTGTCGCCTGGCTGCTGCTTTTTCGCCATCGATTATAAAAGGCTATAAGAAATTGTGTAAAAATTCGTGTGCTTTGGAAATCATTAAGTTTGATACGGAACCACCTTAATATTTACAAAGCATACATTATACTTTCCTTTAATACATATTTTTTTTCATCAATTAAAATGAGAATAATCCATACAGAATGTGCAAACATTTCAAAATCATGAGTTGAATAACGCTGATTCCGCCAGATTAAACATTAGAGTCGAACACAAAGCGGAGCGGCGACGCATTGGCGCCTACAAACCTAACAGGGATACTTCACGCATTGCGTAACGCGTGAAGTATCCCTGTTAGGTTTGTAGGCGCCTGGTTGCCCGCTGCGCTGCGGAGTGCCACGGCGCTTGAAGCAACTATTTCACACCAGAGGTATTGCACAGTATCATACGAAACTGAAGGCGCTCTAATACATTAGGAATGGCAGGCATCCATCAAAA